GTCAAATTCTTTTGATCACAACTAATATTCAGTTTTGAAATTGATGAAAATCCAATTGAATTCTTGATTCATAGAAAAATTGCAGTTGCAGATACTCTAGAACAACGGTTGAATCAAGTTGATCGATTTGAAGAGTCAACAGAAGCAAATCGAGAATTCTAATATTGATTTGAACACAAATTCTTTTCGAGAAGAATTCTGTGAAGTGGATTCATAACATTCATTAGTTCAATGGATTCACTAGAAGTTTTCAAAGAAATAAATACAAATGATCCTGAGAGGCAACTTAAACCCAAACCTTCCAGGATTTCGGGTGGCTTTTTTTGAGTCAAGGTAAAAGGATTATAAGAGGGCAAAATTAGGATTTAAAAAATTTCAAGTATAAGTGATATAATGTACAAAGGGATCTTGACAAATTATTAATGGAAGAGAGATATCTATCTCATTATTAATGGAAAAGACGGAAAAGGCGGGAGAGGTCTTATTAGTATTTAAGATAAGGGAGGTTTATGGCTTTTACCCTTATTATTATAATTATTTCAATGGTTTGAAATTTTGATTTCTTGGTTAATTCTTATCCAAATGGAGTTTCTTCTGGACTCCTCTCACCTCATTTGTGAGACTTTTATTATAGAGTTAGGTAGAATGATTTGTTAACCAAGACAACTTTCGGAGATTTTTGCCATTTGTCAAAAACCTTGTTTTGCTGCCGTGGAATATTCACTATTCCTTTGCTTATCCCCTCTCTCAATTCCTATAGATATTTTCATATTTATCTTCAGAATTCCCCCTTTTACACCTATAAAATCCAAAAAAATACAACTTTTCCAAGGTCATAATTGGTATTTAGGCTCAGTTTGCATACAAATATGGAAAGTGCAAAATCTTATATTTTATATTATTTTGTATGAATTAATATAATAAAATATAAAGTTTTGTATTATATATATATATATTTCTTTTAAATTGAGCCTACAAATACATACAGAATAAAAGGCTGTACATTTTACATATTTATATTTGTACTCCTTCCAAATTAAGCCTAAAGTGTATATATTTGTATTTATGCTGTTAAACTGAGCCTTTGGAAAGAGTACAAATATGAGCATGTATTTTGTCTTTCTAAATCTTGTTTTGCATTGTATGTATTTGTATTTGTTCCTCACCCAAACAATTTAATTAACATGTAGTTGCACATATTCATGTACATAAATGGAACCAGTTGGAGCAAATTGATATGTGATCACAACCGGAGTTCTGTCTCTCTGCAATTTGATGTTCCCAACACAAACAATACACAATTCTTTTTAAGTTGCAGAAATCTTCTAAACATCTTCGTTTGTCCATTCATACTTACACAGAATGGAGAGAAAACATGCAAGAAAAAAAAATCAAAGAAGGAAAAAAAAAGGGATGAAAAACCCCAGTAATTACAGTTATAACTTCACTCCTCATGATACAGAGTCAGAGGTTTCTCCTTCGGGTTGCTAAACTAATGTGTGGCTGAAAACTTGACCACTCCTCGGCCTTGGTCGTTCCGCCGGAGGCCGAGTACTGGGATGCCGAGAGAGCACAGTTGGCAGGCAAACGCTGGTGGGGCTCCGGCCGTGCCCATTCATCGTAGTCGTTCACAAGGCGGGTGTAGCAGAAAGCGGTGGAGTCGTCGCCGATCCTCGGCGCCCCGGGAGGGTTGTGGGTGTGAGGGGTCCTGTGATCGGCGGTCATGACTTTGTAGAGGTAAGGGATGAGACCTTCCATTGATGCTTCTGATCAATTTTCAGAACTTTCAGTGAGGCGTGGTTTGTGAAGAAATGGAGGGAGGACTTGGGCTTATAAAGAAGAGAAACTGGGTGAGGGGAGGTGGGATTTGGACGAATTCCGTGGATTCATGCCAATCCAGTAGCCCAGAATTGAGAGAGCAAATAAGCAATCAATGGGCTCTGCTGAGAGGGTTGACTATCAAAAGGTCGGATCCGATTTCCAAAACCAGCAGCTCTTGTGTTACCGTGAAGATACCAGCCATCGTAATAGTCATGAATGGCCTTCCCAAGAATGGCCACGTGTCCTGTGAAGGAAATCCTGACCGTAGAATTCAGTTGATTAATTCATTGGAACAAAGTAATTAGCGTGAGCAGACTGTTTTTTTATCTCGAAAGGAATCTTGTCGCTATCCAATCTTGCATCATGGGCCCAGTCCACGGTGGATCCTAGTATGGCAACTGAGGATGGATACATCTCGCAACTGTTATCACGATTCACGAACCCATGATAAAGTAATGTCCTGTTGATCGTATAAAAACGTGATTGGAAAGATGTTGCTCTCAGATGTGAGCTTGTGTTAGGTGTGCTTGGCAGACACAGAACAACAGAAGGACGGATGAAGCGGACAATAGGGAAGCGTTAATTCGTTGGAAGATTGATTAAGTATGGCCCACGTGACATTGAAGTGTACGCATTGAGGAATCCGGATTTTCTATTCACGATCACGATGATTCTACTCACTCATACCCACGCGAGATCACAGCCACACATGGAAACATCGATCTCATGTGTTCTTAGATGTTATTATGCATGGCGAGATGTTCTCAATCCACCGAGGTAGTGTTCTTTATAACAACCAGATATGCCAACGTAACTGATCCACGGGCTCAGATCTGCTTCCTACAAGCTGTTTCCACATTGCTACCATAATATACAATTGTAAGTGGGTAGCATGTCGAAAATGGATTCAAGCAGCCGACCTAACTACCTACGTGGGTGACTTTAAACTTTACAAAACTTTACATGAGTGCAAGGATACGTACTATGCATGTGTTCAAGTGTAAATATGGTATTTGGCAAAAAAAAAAAAACAAATAATATAAATATGATAAACTTGGTAATATATGCTATTTTTTTGTTTATGTGATAATTTTATTTATTTTTCTATGATCCTTATCAAAATCAAGGAAAATACCTCCTTTATATATTCCAAATCTAATAATTCAAAATGGAAAATGTCACAAGCAAGTGATGCGACTGCAAATACAATAGATAAACCTTATTATTTCTATGTGCCGCTGAATTTGCAGTTCTAGGGTCATACAAGACTTGATTAAGAATTGAATCATCTAAGGAAACTCCTGCATAGGGGTGTCAAATGGACTGGATTCGGTCTAATTCGATTCAGTCCAATGTGAGTCTATTATAAATGGATTAGGTTCAATTCAATCTAATAAATGTTTTAGATCAATTTGAATCCATTCAATCAAGGTTCAAAGTATCGACATGTATTGGTCTATATGGGCTGATATGTATTGTTCTGGGACTCCACCGATACGCCCCTATAGTGGGTGTATTGGGGTCTGACCGGTTCAGGGGATGGAGGAGACCTAAATCGGTCCCCCTGAACCGGTTTAAAAAAAAAACTAAAAAAAATAGTATTAATTCGCTCGATATACCCATACCGGCATATCGGGTATATCGATGTTTTGAACCTTGTTTCAAAGTATCGACACGTATCGACCCATATCGGCCAATTCGTATCGTTCCAAGACCCCTCTGATACGCCCCTACAATGAATATATCGGAAACCTGTTGGTCCAATCCAAAACCGATCCGTTGAAACTATGAACATGGGGGTTCTGATCTGAATCCTTTATCAACCAAAGCTTAGCTACAAGACTGAGAATTGCTTTATGAGAGTAATTTGAGTAGCAAAACTGAGAACCTCGGAAAACAACATTGCTCTTATATGTTATAATGAATGGGAAGATGTTCCCAATGCACGGAAATGGTGTTTTGTGGGTAAGCAAGGATAGAGTTGTGGGTAGATCTGGGGTCCTTCCAGAAGCATTTTCACGAGTCTTTGAGGGATCAGGAGAATTAATGATAACCGCCCAAACTCAGAGAAGGATCCTGATATTAATTCCATATGCAAGTCTGTTTGGATAAACTGAATCTTAGCTAACTTTCATCATTAATGCAACAAACAAAAGACCCGGTTCATAAATGTCCTACAAGGTTTGATTGCTAGCAAGCGTAAGGACCAGTGGTGCTTTAACTGCAAATCAGGCATTCAATTTGTAAGAATCAAGAAAAATCAGGATCCAGAAGGCTCTCACTGCAAATCAGGACCAGTTAATCACTTAATTGCCAGAAAACGTTTAAAATAAAACAAAACCCCAAGGCCTAAAACAATTGTTTAAGTTTTTTCTCATTGTCCATTCAATTCAGTGATGCACTCCATAGGGCTAACCTAAGATTTGGTTTTATCTATTATTTACGTTGCCTCCTGTTGGCACAAATTTCCCCAACTTGCAACCCGACTGACTGACTACCCATCAAAAGCTTGTACTGCAGTTCCTGTTCAACAATGCAGATTGCAGACAACCTGAATTCAGAAAGCACCCCATTTGGGCGCCGGGTTTGAGTTGGCCCCAAGCATTCCCGGCCCCAGGTGCTCCCAGACCCATGTGGAAGCCAGAAAATTCACTGGCTTATTATGCACTCCCAAATAATTTAGGGACCCCAAGTCATTTCAACACTCCAGCCTGCAACACTGGCATGCAATATACTGAACCCTGTCCCCGCATATAGGGCAGCCCAGTGCAGAAGGTTGTTTCCAAGATATACGCAGCCTTACACATGGCACATACAGAGAGGCTGTTTCCAAGATTTGAACCCTGGTCACCCAGGTTACAATGGAGCAACCCAACCATTGCGCCAAGGCCCACCCTTGAACTATATCCCTGCATATCTCTCATATAAATTACTAGTAGAAAGGTCTGTTGATTAAGTGTTGTCAACTGAATAATCCTGTGCAAAGATACTTCACTATGGTAGCAGAACTTGACGCCATATAATCCTTAATGGTGAAAGATAAATTATAAATGGCTATAATTAAGAAGTATCTAAAACACCCATGTAATATGAAAATCAAAATCAAAACCAGATCCCAATTATGTTGCACAGGAAACAGCCACCTAGTGCATTCCAAGTAGATCACATGCCCCTGCCGATTGACGGACAAAAAATCGGACCAGATGATATATATTAAATAAAGAATGGAATTCCTAATTTGTGTGTTCTGGGTTACAAAAACATAAACAAATCAAATATATAAATATACACAAGAAAAGCCACAGTACTGGTTGATAACAATTTGTATGGAATAGTCTGTGAAGAACTGCTCACACTAAGCTGTCCTGTGTTCACAAATTGATCTTTGCCAGAAATTGTGGAAACATTCACAGACAGTGAACCTGAAAAATAGATATTCAAAGGAAGGGTAAGGGTTATTCATGAACATTCTTCAGGAGAAATACTTTAAGGTACATTTTGCGATTGTTAAACTTACAATCATAATTAGCCCATCCAATTTGTTGATTAACCAGATCATAAACAAAGATCTTATCTCTTAGAACAAGGTCTGCAGAAAAGTAAACAGTTATGTTCAATCTAGTCAGGCTTATTAAATCAATAGGTTTAATAAGTCATGCATTAATTGAAACACATGAATGATTACAAGGAATGGTGTCACATGCCGACCACCCAGACTGTAGTTCTTAATATCATTATTTTGTTTCAGATATCAGAAGATTCACAACTATTACGTATATACTAGTTTGCAAATGTTTGACCATCCACTCTTCTCAAAAGTGGATATAAGCAACTTCAATTTCTAGCAGTTGCAAGATTTTAGAGAAGGTTGATAACTCAAGAGATTTTGATTCAAGTTATTATCCTGCTATTATTTGGTTTCTTGCTGCAGCACTTTCCTATGTTTCAAATTTTAGAAATTTGGATATAAGGTATTACAGTCAAATAGATTTCACAATTATAAATTCATATATGAACTACATATATCCACAGAATCTTTACAAAGAAGATACAGATTGAATGAAAGTAAAGTGAAGAAGCATGCATAAATATGTACATATGTGGGTATGCAATGTATACATGCAGACAGAGGCAGATGCAATTTAACAGAGAAGCCTTCAAGTCAGGATTCAAACCTCCTAAAATTGTCATCCCTGGGTCTTGAACCCTCTGAAAGCCAATGCACCAGAATTCTGCTCCATCCTGTAATCACAAAAATTCCAGTTAAAACTAGCACATAGCAATATTTCATTCACTGCATGAGCAAAGCATTAGAACCAGATCTATCCTACAATTGTTAAAAATATGTAATGTAATAAACAGGATTTGAATGACTTACAACACCACCCTCTTTTATAAGGTATTCAACAGGACTTAAGATCATAGATGCACTACCCGCAAAGTTTAAACTGACCGTTGGAAATATCTCATCTACACTGTATACAAAAGATATATGCATTCCAATGTTAATATAACAAAGTAATAAGCCCCCTTTAAAGTCCAAGTATCTAATAAGGAGCAAATTGGAATATTGATAAAAAAGGAGCAAGTTGGAAGACAATTGCAAAAATGATACCTGCTGGAGATTAGATAGCATTGATTTTCTTTTGAAAAAACTAAATGTGTAGATTGTGAAATAAAACTACTTATCTGTAGAAAAAGGAGAAAATCAACTTCAGAATACAGTGATAAAAGTCATATAACGATTTTCTTTACCTAAAAATGAATACTAGGCTGTGAGTTGGATTACTTCAGGCACCAAACAAATCAACCCTAAGAATACCCAGAATGAAGGAAAATTCTTAAAATAATTAAAGATCTAAGAAATTGTACCCATATGACTTACAGCACTGACAAAAGGATCATATGCTTCTGCAGCAAGGTACGCCAAAGTTGTTCCAGAATCAATTATGGTCCCTCTGTTGCTTGATGTTGCAAACACTGCTGGGTCAATGGGCAAAATTTGTCCATTGACAGCAATACTCTGCAGATTCAAATTGTAATGAGGCCTGAAGATTTGGAGACACAAAGTTATGATCAAACTCAACACAATCATAATTGAAATGCTTGAAATCTTTTTGTCTTATGCACATAAACAATAGTTGGATTTGAAAGAACTAAAAAAATTGTTTGGCATTGGACAATTAATGCATGGTTGTCATATATGATAGAATATCTCATACAGAACAAGATTTTTTACACATTAAACACAAATTTAAGGTAAACCGACTTTTGTATAGGAAAATTAATAAAGTTTTAAGCAAAAAAAGCTAAGACAAAAATTCCTTAGAAGCAAAATTACAAGAAATGAAAAATGACTTCACCCAGATAGAAAATAAAAAGAACATGAATAAAATAAATACAAAGGTGAAAATCAGTGATACACTTAGAAATAGTAAACAGACTTGGCAACAGACTAAGTTAGAAAATGCATTGTAATAAGCTGCTGAATTGACATGAGAAAATGGGTTGCCCTATTGGTGGCACTTTGCCTCATATACTGGTTTGAGGTGTATCTCATCTCATAGATATCTTCTATAAAGTACTCTTTTCTTCTATATTAAATTTCTTCTCTCTCCCTAATTCATCTTTTCTTTTTAATTGCCTACATATGCATTTTATCCTCGTGAATAAGTAACATCATTTCTTGGAGAAGTTCTTGGATAATTCATCATTTTAATAGAATATTCCCAATTTCCCATGTTATGTCATAATGGATTGGAACAGAACTAGTTTTACATGATTTTTTAATTATTTAATTTCTAATGATTTAGTTATACGATTATAAAAGTATACTAACTAATTAATTTATGGAACTGCTTCACATCTAATTTTTAGGAGGCTTACATGCCAGATATTCTGGGAAACTTCAACAACATTTGATAGCATCCAGCAACATAATCCAAAGAAAACTTGAAGGCAACTTTTATCAACTTTAGAAAAACCTAAAAGGGAAAATATACAGGAACAACCCATGTTTTAAAGCTCTGCATCTAAAGTTCCTATCGGTCAAGGCACACTTCAGAAAACATCACAGGAGGGCAATAGCATAGTTTAAATGAGAAGAACAACAACCAATAGAATATTAAAAGTTGTTTGAGGAGAAAGAGGACAATCTGCAAAGCAACATCCAGATTCCAGACTATGAACATTCACTAAAGAAAGAGACTATGAACTATATTAGAACATGAATCTAAATGAAAAGGGAAAACAACAAATAAAAGATAACAGTTCCTTTAAAGAGAAATAAGAGCATACTGATTTGGAACAAGCGGACTATAGACGATATTTGGCTCCACAATCTCGCCAAAAACCAATACACCCCCACCACTATTTGCTCCTATCAAGCAATGCGAGAAAATTTTTGGTGTGATTCCTCGTGATGACAGCTGCGAAATGACAGACAGATCATGCTGCCCAAACCCAAAAATTCCATCAACTGCTCTATCTGGCTTGGTCAAGTCTCCGGACTGATAGTTGCTACATCTGTTTCAAGCACAATCACCAAATTATATAAATTTCAAAAAGCATATCTCTCCAACATTAAGAAAGGGGAAAGCAAAAAAAGAACAGAAGCAGAAGGGGAGGGAGGAGAGTTTCAACTTTCAATATGGTGATGAAAGCTCACCCAAAAATGATGGGAGCCGAAGAGTTTGCGACCAACGAGTTTCCGAGGACTGCCTCCAAAGACAACATGTCTGATACATAATAACCCGTTGTCCCACTACCGTCACCATACTGGAACGTGTAACTGCACTGAGAATTCTGAGAACTGCAGCCACCATCTGCAGTTTGAAGTGCCAAATTACATATTTTATCTGAACAGGATACTAGAGAAGCGGTGGACGAGGCGCTGGGGTCAAAAAAATTCAGAGCTATCTGTAAAAACGTAATCTTGTAAGATTTTCTTCTATATCTTCTTCCCCTTTCTATATACTCAATAGAAGTTCAACAACTGAAAGAAGAGGAATGAAGAAAGGAGAGAAGAGTTTACATTTAGACCGCTTTCTTTAGGACAACCATTGCAAGGATTGCAAGTAACCCACAAGACATCACTTCCGGTATCAATCTGAACAAAGAATTCTTTTGGAGGAGTTCCCAATTTCACTCTTGTAAAATACAACCTGATCAATAAAAGAAAATAAGTGCAATGTGTGAAAACATCTAAGATATGCTCTTAAGAAGAAATAAACAAACAGAGAAAAAGAACCAACAATTTAAAGCGCAAATATATCAAACAAACAAAAAGCATCAAAAGAGAGCGAGAATAGCAAAATCCACATAGCCGTTAATTTACAAAACAAAGAACCAAGATCATCGACAACAATCTAATCCAGAACCTAATAAAGAAAGAAAAGGAAATGATAAACAGGCAAAGAATGCCAAAAACCCATTGATTATAAAATACCCAGTAGAGAAAAGAAAAGGAACAGAAGGAGTTCCATAAAGGAAGAGAAAATTAACGAGAGAAACAAAACAAAATTTAAAAAACATAACCCGGAAACAAAACGGAATCCAGAATAAGCATGAATTCAATCACGGACGAATATAATGAAAATTACCCGACGGTGTAAGGATTGTAGGTACCCTCGACGGGAAAATCAACGATCCCCTGCAAGATTCGACGGTGCCTTACCCTGTCCCGAGCTATGAGTTCACTCAGCTCAACCCTCTTGTTCACCGGAAAAGCTCTTTCCAGCGTGAGAGTAGTCGGTAAACTACTGTACACCACCGCCGCCGGCAAGAACACGGCGAATAAAACCAAGACAACAGACCCGGCGTGGTGAAACGCCGGCATTTCCTTGTTATTTGATTTATACCTCTCTTTAACTTCGGACCACAACCAAAAAAAGAATATTTTATTATAAACCCATAAAATTTAGAGGCGAAGATCGAGGTCCGTGTCTTTCTGAAACCCTGAAACTCAGAGAGATAGATAAAAAGAGGGGGAGAGAGAATGACAGAGAGCGAGAGAGAGAGGAGGAAGGTAGAGAGAGAGAGAGACCGAGCCAGAGAGAGAGAAGACAGAGGGGAATCGAAAGACTTTCCGCGACAACAGCTGATAACAGAAGTTTCAAAACCGGATTACGTTAGTCCTAATATATGTTTTCTTCCTATATATACTGCTATCTTCTAATCTACGTTGAGTGCGTACTACACACGCTTTCTTTGTTTTTGTTTTGACTTCTGACTTCCTTAGGTAGGATGTTTACAAACCCGTGGACCCCAGCTCAACAGCCCAGGTTGATCATGCCACATCGTCCATATCTCCTACCATTGTATCCTACTGCCAGTACAGAGAACCATAACTTCGCCGAATCCAACGGCTGATATTCTCGTGCGTGATTGATGGCTGTCACAAAGTGCCTTACGTGGCTAACAAGGACATTCTAGTAATTTGAACGATATAGAATTACCTACTTGCCCTCCGTGGCCCATACAAACTTCACGTAGTATTATGTAGAAAACATTTCTAAAAATGGAATTTAAAGGGAATCTTCCTTTCCAGTTATTTCATCTTTATTTGGTGTATGGAAGAGATTTGTGAACTGCCTTACGTGAGGCCGGAGATTTTGGCCGTTGGATTGGAATAAGAGGGTGGGCCAGCTCCGTTCCTTGTTGGCTTGTTCCAATTTGACGACCAGTGACGGCCACGTGCAAGAAACGTAAAAGGCAAAGCAGCATTTGGGACACTTTGCTACTTTGCCCTTCCACCTTTTCTTAATGATCAATGAGACCCAGCCTTTTTTGCAAAGGATATGTACGGTGCGCCCCTTTCAAGGCGAGCAGTAGAGGATAAGCATGGTATTTTACTAATTGATATGTGGAGATTTGGAATGGGGGGGGGGCGACGTAGGCGGAAAGACGACGACGTTGGGTTTGATTTGATTTTTCAGATAGGCGTGTTTGACCAAACAACGCGCGGGAAATGTGCGAAGTAGGTTTTAATAATGATGATTGTGCATCCAAACAGCTCCTTAGAAGAATCTTCCTCTTACTTGGTTTAAAACTCACTTTAGAATGATGATTGTACACCCAAACAGCTCCTTACAAGATATTTCCAAGCTTAGTTTATGCTAATCTTTCTTTCCGACGCTTCCAATTTCATTTGAAAACTTTCTTTAATTTTTACATTCTTTTCTAACCTAATATTCACTTTAAAAGAAAAAAAAAGACCATTTTAAGGGTTTGTTGAAGATAGTGAACCTCTTACTTGGGCTAAAACTCGTTTTACACTGATGATTACACACCCAAACAGCTCCTATGAAGATACTTCTAAGCTTATGCTAATCTTTCTTTTCCAAACTCCCGATTTCATTTGAAAATTCTCTTTTGGACATTCTTTTCTAACCTAACACACCCTTTAAAAAAACTCATTTTTTAGGGGTTTGTTGAAAGAAGCGAGCCTCTTACTTCAATGGCACCCAAAAGCCAAATGCTTTGGTCATTGATGATACAATATATAGGCATTCATGACGATAGGTGGCAAGTATTGATAGGGTGTGGGATCAACTGTTGGATGGTCCCTAAAGAGGACAAATCACAAGCCAAACATATGTTTGACAAGGTCAGATCCACTTCTACCAATAAAGCTTATATCCACTTTTATCAGTGAGCCACTGAGACTCGGCAGTCTAAACAATAAAGCAAATGATCTTAGACTTGGACCGGACTGGATGGTCTGACTGTTCAGACCGGAACTTGCAGCCAAAGCAGTTTTTGGGTGTCCCACTTTTAGAAATCTTGACTTGATCAAACTCATCCCAAATGCATACACTTAGGCTGTGTTTGATTTGAAGGAAAACTTGGGGAAAGGATGGATTGTATAGGTTTTCCTTCATTTCCCTTTATTTCCCTACCTTTTTCTTCAAACCAAACACACAGCATAATAGGTCTCATAACCTCTGATTCAATCTTATTTTGATGTAAAATAGCTTTAAAAGATAATCTAGCATTATTTTTTATTTTTATTTGAATGAGTCAAGTGATTGAAAACATTATAGGTGTTATGGTTTTTGAACCATTTTGACCCAGACAGTCGGACCATTCAGCCCAGAAACTATCTAAAAAACCGGTTCATTTCACCCCTGAACCAGAATTTTATAAAAAACTGTTGACTTGGTTAATGACCTGCTGAATTGCTGACCTGAACAGTTGAATCATTGACTCATTTAACAATTTAACCCCAACGATGACCTTTGGCCTTTTTGTTTTAATTATTTTTTATATTTTTATTTTTTTTAAATTACAATACACCATCCATTCAGACCGGATGGTTGAACAGTTGACCCAAAAACTATTAGCTAAAGCGGTTTCGATTCTGGTCAATTTTTAACATTGACAAGTGTTGATCACTCGATCCTCTTCTTCTTCTTTTTCTATTTTCGTAATTATTTTTATTATTATAATGTTGGCCCAACTGCTACAACCGTGGTTGTACTACTCCCTTGTGGACCTAAATGGAATACGTACAAGTCAGCAATGGAAATAAATTTATAATACCACTTGAACTGCTTTTTAATCTTTATTGCGGGTACACCCATGCTTCATTCATTCATTGGGGGTCACATGAAAGTGCTGCGACCTTGATCTCAGCAGATAGTGGGCTCCATTATAACTTACATTCAGACCCTATTTTTTCTTATTTTCTATAAAACCAAACATAGCCTTAGTGTATTCCCTATCTCTCTGATTTTGCCACGTGGCTAATATTATTTGTAGGCCAAGCATCTATATATCCAATATTTTACTAGACTACTAATCATTTTGCATATTGGGTATCATCTGCCTCCTATAGTTCTTCTAATGTTGGGTTTTACCAAATTTGCTGCAACCTATTTGATTTAGTTAAAAGATATCAGAGAACATTGACTCTTGCCTACTCTTGCTGACGTTTTCTTGCAAGAAAATCAAGATTTGCTTTTGAAAAACGTAGGTATGAACTAAGGAAGCTATATTTGTATCTATGGATTTACTCAATCTAATACAACACGCAAATTGGTGCATGTATTTAGGTGATCAATTGCATTGTCTTCACGCTGGAGTTGGTAATTGACGCAGGTAATTAATCCCTAGAGTATCTACGAAGTTATACATTAAGCTGTATTTGGAAACGATGCAAATAGGTGTGAATGCAAATGTATAGAGCGTAAAACGGTTAATATAAATTGTAAAGTTAGGTTAGTTTTGCATTGACAAGTTTATCTTCTTACCAAATAGACTTTTAGTTGTAATAGATGCTGATGCGGCGTGATCTGGGCACTCCTAGATGGCGGCTGACAGGCTCCTTGTTGGCAACGAGCAGCACCTGAGAAGGCGAAAGGAAGGATTCCCGGGGATTTGCCCGGTGGGAATACTCCGATGCTTAAGTTAGTACTGTGTATGGAAGTAAAGAGGGCAAAATGAAAGCTAAGAGTGGAGGTCACGCTTATCACTATATTCGAGAGGTTGGAGGTCTCAAGAGAGTTTCTCCTTTGCCTTGGGGGCTTTTATAGGAGGAGCGCTCTTGCGAGATTGGGCATAACCGCCACTGGGCTCCTGCCGCAGCCGTTACCTGCCAAGTCTGCGTAGGTAATTGTTACAGTGTACTATCCGCTTGGTCGAGTGGCACGTCCCAAAGGGGCAGGCACGCCTCTATCTGTCGAGAGACGTGGGAACAGACTGTCGAAAGAACAAGGACTGCGCCGCCAGTCGAGAGACGCAGCACAGTCTGTTCGGTACGGTCTTGTCAGATGGAAGCTTCCTGAGAGCGTCGCATCACTCAGTCGCAAGTTACCTCGTAGCGAGCTATCCTTGGCGCGAGCTACTTTGCAGCAAGCTCTTTGGGGTACTTCGAGGTGACCCTCATCAAGGTTGGTCTTTGGGGCAGTCTTCTGCCCAGGTGCTAGAGCGAGCTGGTTTCCCTAGCTCGCGAGCTGAAATATTCTTGGAGTATTCCCTTATTGGTAGTTCGGGGAACCTGGAGCTCGCATTGTAGTGAGCCTCTCCTTTACCTTGCCACCGCGTAGCGGGCTGCTTTATAAGCCTATCACTTAGCCGTACCGGAATACGATGTTGAGCTGTCACTTACGCTGAGTCAGCGTCCACGTGCCGCCGTTTCATAGGTCGGGTCAAATCATCCTTCATCAATTGCCCCCCACTCCTCGGGCTAAGAGTRTCGCCTTAGCGCGGGGAGTTTATGAAGCGCGATGGACTGATTTGACCGAAATTCAAACTTGATTGACCGTAATAAATGCATTGGCAGGAATCAAGAGATCTTCTGACTCCTC